AGCTTTCGATAGGGACAGACCAGAGGATGCTGTAATTTCAGTTTTAAAGAGTTGTGGATGCTTTGATTCCAGCTTTTTAAAAAAAGTAGAGTAGACTTTACTTTCAGTATAAATGAGTAGGGAGAGTTTTACTCTATATCTTGCTATTGTTGGGATCAGTATGGTTTGTGACTTTCTGTTTAAAGGAGTGCATGGTTCACTCTGTATCTAACCCCTAACCCCATGCTGTCTCTGTCCTGGGAGTGTTTGATGGCGACAACAGTGTAGAGGGGACTTTATTCGATATCTAACCCTGGGCTGTGAGGGTTTGATGGGAGCCTGGAGTTTTGATTGTTGATTGGTTCCAGGTTTGAGAAGAATGAATGCTGCCAATGAGGAGCCTCTGGGTGTTTACTATCGGGAGTACACGGTATTCCTGGAAAGTGGGTATTCTGCTTCAAACAGCTCGTATCCCGGTCAGGAAGATAATGGCACTACTTTGGAAAAGCTCTTGGAGGAGTGGGCAGTTCCCACAACCAATGTGAGTGGCTTGGTGGGGCTACACACCCACACACCCACACGTTCCTGAGTATTGACATCCTGAAAACACTGGTGTACAGACCGTAAACTCCCATGGGGTAGGGGCAGACCCCAAACCCCCAGTTTATGCTCTACATTCTGGAATTCTCCCCTAACCCCCTCAACTTCACTGCCCGCTGCCCCCCCACCTTTACACTGTAGGAAATGGAGTGTTGTAGTTTATTACAAGGGGAATGGAATCAAAAAGAAGGAAAGTTTTTTTGCTGTAATTGTACAGGACTGGTCTCCTGATCATTGCAGGCAGAGGAATCAGTGGTTACTGGGGCTAGACGGAAATGTGGAATTCAAAACACACAGATCAGCCGTGATGTTATCGAATAGTGGAGCAGGCTGGAGGGGCTGAATGGCCTATTGCTCCTCGTAATTTGTGTGTTATTTAAGGAAGGGTATTGTTGCAGTTAGAAGCATTTCAGAGATGGTTCACTGGACTGATCTTGGCATTGAGGAGGTTATCTTCATAGGAGAGGTGGGGCAGGCTGGTCTGTGTCCAATGGAGTTTCAAAGAATGAGGGATGCTCTAATTGAGACATGTAGGATCTGAGAGTACTGGGTATGGAATGAGCTGCCAGAGGAATAGGTGGGGGCTGGTACCTTTACAACATTTTAAAGGCATCTGGATGGGTATATGAATAGGAAGGGTTTAGAGGGATACGGGCCAATTACTGGCAAATGGAACTAGATTTATCTGAAATATCTGGTCAGCATAGATGAGATGGACCGAAGGGTCTGTTTTGGAGCTGCACACCTCTGACTGTGTGTGTTGGGGGATTGGTGTGTGAATGCAGAAAGAATGTTTGCCCTTGTGGGATGAGAGGAAACAGGTTAAAAATAAGAGGTAGCTTGAGTTCAGGTGGGCAGCAGATTCCCTGGTGTTAGCAGATCTCCTGTCTCCAGCAGTGTTCTTTTTCTCTCTGAGGACCTTGTGTGTGTGGAACGCTTTCCCCAGAAAGTGTGGGGGGAGGGGGTAATTGAATATTTTTTTAAGGCAGCGGTCGATCCATTCTTGATGAATAAGGGGGTTAGCAGGGAGATGTGGGAACACAACCATATCACCGGTGATCCCATTCTCTGGTGGAGCAGGCTGGAGAGGACAAATGGTCTACTCTTGCTGCTAAATCGTTTGCTGATTCTGAGCTGCTCCTGACCTTCCGGCCTAGACCATAAGTCACTTCTACCTGAAACACTGTCCTGCTCTTTGATTATCACCATAGTGTAGTGTCTTGGGAGGTTCTACTGCAGCAAAGGTGCTGTATCAATGGCAGCTGTTGTTATAGAATCATACAGCACGGAAACTGACCCTTCAGTCCAACTCATCCACGCTGACCATCATCCCAAAATAAACTAGTCCCACCTGCCTGCATTTGGCCCATATCCCTCCAAACCTTTTCTATTCATGAACTTATCCAAATGTGTTTTAAGTGTTGTCACTGTACCTGCATCCATGACTTCTGGAGTTCATTTCACACATGAACCACTCTCTGTAAAACAAAAAAGGTGCCCCTCGTACCCTTTTTAAATCTGTCTCCTTTCACCTTAAAAATATGCCCCCCCCTCCCCAGTTTTGAACTCCTCCACCTGAGGGAAAAGACCCTTGTCATTCATCTCATCTCTGTCCCTTGTGACTTTATAAGGTCACCTCTCAACCTCCAAAGCTCCAGTGAAATATGTCCCAGCCTTTCCATTTTCATTATTTTTATATTTGAATTTTATTTTTTTATATCTCAAACCCTCAGTTCCAGCAACATCCTGGTAAATGTGGCTGACTTCCAACTGCCCTCTGAAATGGCCTAGCAAGCCATTAAGTTGTACCAATTGCTACAAAGTCTCAAAGAAATGAAACTGGCCGGATCATTTGGCATCGACCTAGGCACCGGAAAAGACGAGCAGAAACACCCCTGTTGACCCTGCAATGTCCTCCTCAGTAACTTCTAGGGACTAGTGCCAGAATTGGGAGAGCTGTCTCACAGACGAGTCAAGCAACAGCCTGACACAGTAATACACTCAGAATCATACCTTACAGACAATGTCCCAGACACCACCATCACCATCCCTGGATATGTCCTGTCCACTGGCAGGACAGACCCAGCAGAGGTGGCAGCACAGTGGGTTACAGTTGGGAGGGTGTTGCTCTGGGAGTCTTCAATATTGACTCCAGACTCCATGAAGTCTCATGGCTTCAGGTTAAACGTGGGCAAGGAAACCTCCTGCTGATTACCACATTACCGTCCTCCTACTGATGAATCAGTACTCCTCCATGTTGTACAACATTTGGAGGAAGCGCTGAGGATGGCAAAGGCACAAAATGTACTCTGGGTGGGGGAATTTCAATGTCCACCACCTTGAGTGGCTCGGCAGCAGTACTATAGATCGGCTGGTCGGGTCCTACAGGACATAGCTGCTGGACTGGGTCTGCATTATGATGAGAGAACCAACAAGAGGGAAAAGCATACTTGACCTCATTATTATCAATCTGCCAACTGCAAATGCATCTGTCCATGACAGTATCAGTAACAGCAAACATCACACAGTCCTTTTGGAGACCAAGTCCAGCCTTCACATTGAAAATAACCTCCATCATGTTGTGTGCCACGATCACTGTGCTAAATGAGGCAGATTTCAAACAGATCTAGCAATTCAAGATTGGGCATATATGAGGCACTGTGGGCCAGCAACAACTGCAGAATTATACTCCAGCACAATCTGTAACCTCAAGGCCTGGCATATCCCCCACTCAACTATTACCAGCAAGCCAGGGGATCAACCCTGGTTCAATGGAGAGTGCAGGGGGGCATGCCAGGAGCAGCAACAGGCATACCTGAAGATAAGGTGTCCACCTGGTGAAGCCACCAAACAGGGCTACTTGCATGCCAAACAACATAAGTAGGAAGTGATAGATAGAGCTAAGCGATCCCACAACCAATGGATCAGATCTCAGCTCTGCAGTCCTGCCACATCCAGTCATGAATGGTGGTGGACAATTAAACAACTCACTGGAGGAGGAGGCTCCACACATATCCCCATCCTCAATGATGGAAGGGCCTAGCACATCAGTGCAAAAGATAAGGCTGAAGCATTCGCAGCAATCTTCAGCCAGAACTGCCGTGTAGATGATCCATCTCGGCCTCCTCCAGTGGTCCCCAGCATTACAGATACCTGTCTTCAGCCAATTCGATTCAGTCCACGTGATATCAAGAAACAGTTGGAAGCAGTGGATACTGCAAAGGGGACGGGCCCTGACAACGTTCCGGCAATAGTACTGAAGGCTTGTGCTCCAGAACTTGCCGCTCCCTTAGCCAAGCTGTTCCAGTACAGTTACAACACTGTATCTACCTGAAAATGTGGAAAATGGCCCAAGTATGTCCTGTACATTAAAAAGCAGGACAAATCCAACCTGGCCAATTACTGCCCCATCAGTCTCCTCTCGATCATCAGTAAAGTGATGGAAGGTGTCAAGCAGCTCCTGCTCAGCAATAACCTGCTCAGTGTCACCCAGTTTGGGTTCCGCCAGGGCCCCTCAGCTACTGACTTCCATTACAGTCTTGGTTCATACACACAGGCAAAGGAACTGAATTCCAGAGGTGAGGTGAGAGTGACAGCCCTTGATATCAAGCCTGCATTCGACCGAGTCTGGCATCAAGGAGTCCTAGCAAAACTGGAATCAATGGGTATCGGGGGAAAAACTTTGATGGTCAGAGTCATACCTGACATGTACGAAGATGGTCGTGGTGGTTGGAGGTCAATCATCTCCATTTCAGGACATCTCTGTAGGAGTTCCTCAGGGTAGTGTCCTGGGCCCAACTTCTTTGACCTTCCCTCCATCATAAGGTCAGAAGTGGGGATGTTTGCCGATTCCTGCACAATGTTCAGCACCATTCACAACTGCCCAGATACTGAAGCAGCCCGTATTCAAATGCAACAAGATCTGGACAATATCCAGGCTTAGGCTGACAAGTGGCAAGTAACGTTCGCGCCACACAAATACCAGGCTATGACCATCACCAATAAGAGACAATCTCACCACCAGCCTTTGACAGTCAATAGTGTTACCATCACTGAATCCTCCACTATCAACATCCTGGGGATCATCATTGATCAGGACTCACCACATAAACACAGTGGCTACCAGCAGGTCAGCGGATAGGAATCCTGGGCAAGTAACTCCCCTCCTGGCTCCCAAAGCCTGTCCACCATCTACAAGGCACAAGTCAGGAGTGTGATGGAATACTCCCCACTTGCCTGGATGAGTGTAGCTTTAACCGCACTCGAGAAGCTTGACACCATCCAGGACAAAGCAGCCCGCTTGATTGGCACCACACGCACAAGCATCCACTCCCTCCACTGCCAATGTTCAGTAGCAGCAGTGTGTACTATCTACAAGATGCACTGCAGAAACTCACCAGAGATCCTCAGACAGCACCTTCCAAACCAATGATCACTTCCATCTAGAAGGACAAGGGCAGCAGATACATAGGAACACCACCACCTCCAAGTTGCCCTCCAAGTCACTCACCATCCTGACTTGGAAATATATCGCCATTCCTTCACTGTCGCTGGGTCACAATCCTGGAATTCCCTCCCTAATGGCATTGTGGGTCAACCATAGCAGGTGGGCTGCAGCAATTCAAGAAGGCAGCTCACCCCCACCTTCTCAAAGGGGAACTAGGGATGGGCAACAAATGCATGCCCAACCCTCTCCAGTTTAATGGTATCCTTCCCACAACAGGGTGACCAGAACTGGACACAGTAATCCAGAAGAGGCTCACCAACAATCTGTACAACCTCAATGTGACGTCCCAGCTCCTACACTCCGTGGTCTGAGTAATGAAGGTGAGCCTGCTAAACGCCACCTTAACCATCCTGTCTACCTGACATGCCAATTTCAAAGTATTATATACCTACACGTCTAGGTCTTTCTGTGCAACAACATTACCCAGGGCACTAACGTTAACTGTATATCACCTTCCCTGTTTGTTTTACCAAAATGTAACACCTGACATTTATCCAAACTAAACTCCATCTGTCACTCCTCAGCCCATTGGCCCAATTGATTAAGATCCCTTTGTAATCTTAGATAAACTTCCTCACTGTCTACTGTACCAGCAATTTTGATGTCGTCTGCAAACTTACTAACTATGCCTCCACAATCCTGGACTGAAACCAATCTCTCTTGAACTCGCACTTGCCCCCTTTCTCTCTCTCTCTCTCTCCTTCACACTTGCCCCTCTCTCCTGCGCTGACTCATCCCCCCCGCACTCCCTCGCCCCCTCTCTCCCACACTCACTCGCCAC